GTGAGTACACACGCCCACGTTGATAGATAAGGTAAAGGGTTAAGAGATGGAGAGAATGGTAAGTGATAAACCTAAGCTGAAAACATTGGTCTTTAAATGTGGAATCATTTTGAACTTGCTATCCAAAGGTATCCTTTTTTCTGTAGATGTATCTAGATTTTTACAATTCCGATTTCTTTCTCATCACCTCTGTTACTCGTTCTTTAATCATTGTTATTTGTTCTTCCTTTTTTTGGTTCGATACTTTAGTCCATGGATCGTATTTTTTTAGGGTGTTTTCTATGCCTTACTTATTCTCGTATTTTGTCTCTGTCCCTTTTTCAAATCCTCCAGCTGTTGCCTTTTTATTTTATAATTTGTTATATACTCGTTTTTTTCCTCTTAACGTGTTGGTTGTTGGCACATTTGCCTGTGGTTGGTATCTGCTCTTGCACGAGAGAGAGAGAGGGAGAGGGAGAGAGAGAGGGAGAGAGAGAGAGAGAGAGAGAGAGAGAGAGAGAGAGAGAATGAGTGCGTGGTGAGGAAAAATTCCCCTGCAATAACTCGCGACGGGCGGGCTTTTGGACTCCGAAAGATGCACTAGGGAAGGTCAGGGAAGCACCCGGGAGAGGCCCTCTCTCTCTCTCTCTCCCTCCCTCCTTCCGTGACTCTTTCCCTCCCTCCCTCCCTTTTCTCCCCCTCCCTAATTCCTTGACTCTTCCCCTCCTTCCTTCCCTTCCCTTCCCTTCCTTTCCTTTCCTTTCCTCTCCTCTCTCCCTTTATCTCCCCTTTCCTTCCCTCTCCTCTCTCCGTCTCTGTAGAACATATGGGAAGTTGAAAGGAGGAGAGGAGGGAAGAAAGGGAAAAAAAGAGGAGAAATAAAGACATATGAGGGAAGCAATGATTAGATGGAGATGAAAAATAATGATGATAATAATGATTGCGATAACGATAGTAATGGCCAGGAGAATGAAGGAAGTGGGGAAGGTGAGGCAAAGATCTTGAGAGAGAGAGAGGGAGAGAGAGAGAGAGAGAGAGAGAGAATGTGAGAGAGAGAGAGAGAGAGAGAGAGAGAGAGAGAGAGAGAGAGAGAGAGAGAGAGAGAGAGAGAGAGAGAGAGAGAGAGAGAGATGGGAGGGGGGGGGAAGGGGCGTAGTAGTAGAAGGGTACACAGCTGATATATTTAATACGAGGAGGGTGTTTGGGTGCTTTGAAGGTGCGGGATCGAGAGCAAGGAGGGAGGGAACAGTGAAAGAGAGAAGATAGAGAGAAAGAGTGAGAGAGAGAGAGAGAGGAGGGAATGAGAAGGAGAGCAGAGGGGAGAGACGTGTGCGAGGGAGGGAGGGAGAGACAAACAGACAGACAGACAGAGGGAGAGGGAGAGGTAGAGGGAGGGAGAAAGAGAGGGAGAGGGAGAGGAAGGGGGGGGGGGGACTGCACTGCGCACATCCCGGTAAGAGGGTGGCTAGCATACCGGGATACCAGCCCTAATACTAGGAAAACACAGCAAACGAGGCTGGGATGAGGAGGGAGAATAGAAAGAGGGAGAGGGAACGAAGAGAGGAAGTGAGAGGAAGAAATCGAAAAGAGGCAGAGAGGTAGGTAGAGAGTGAGTGGAGAGAGAGAGAGAGAGAGAGAGAGAGAGAGAGAGAGAGAGAGAGAGAGAGAGAGAGAGAGAGAGAGGGGGGGGGGGGAAGAGGAAAGGAGAGAAGAGGAGGGTAAAGAGAAGAGAGAAGGGGAGGGGCCGGTGTTGCATCTGCCGTTGCATCTGGTGGCGTTGTTGTGGAGATGGAGATCCGGGGAAGGAAGGAAGGAAGGAGAGAGGCTCTTTAGGCGAGGACGCGGCGAGAAAAGGCCACGGGCGGCGTCGCTGATTGGGAACAGGAGAAGGTCGCGTTTCTCCGGAGGGGAAAGGGCGTAGCAACAGCAGGAAAAGCAGGAGGAGCGGCAGGAGAGCAGGGGCGAGGGGAGAGAGGGAGAGAGGCTGTCCCGAAGCGCCGCCGCCAGAGGACAGGAGCAGTAGGAGCGAGGTGGAAGGAGGTGTGTGGGCAGGGAGCAGGTGGTGGTGATAGTAGGACGGCGCGGGAGATGCAGTAGCAGCAGGAGAGGCAAACGGGGTGGCTGAAGGCGCCGGTGGAGCAGCGGCGGGAGGACGAGCAGGAGGAGAGGAGGAGGAGATCGGCCGGGAGGCCCGAAGAGGGAAGGAGGGCGAGTAGGAGCTGGCGATGGGTCTGAGGAGGAGGGTTTGCCGTCCGCAGTAGCGGGCGGCGGGCGGCGGAGGAAGGGGCTGGGGCGCGGCGTGGCGAGCGCGTGGGATCAAAGCGGGAGCCGCGGCGGCTGGGGCGGCCACCTTTAAGGCGGCACACAGGCGCACACACGACCATGCCACACACACATCACACACACTCACACTCACATATATAGTGCTGCACGTACATGGGCAGGGGGTCCACACGAGCGAGTACACGCACACACACTCGCACACACGCACCGAGCGGGCGCAGCTTCCCTCGGCTCGGAG